ATTTCAGAATCGATCAATTGTATTTCAGAATAGTCAATTGTATTTCAGAAGTGGTCAATTGTATTTCAGAATGGTCATTTGTATTTCAGAAGTGGTCATTTGTATTTCAGAATATATCAATTGTATTTCAGAAAATGTCAATTGAATTTCAGAATATAGCAATTGAATTTCAGAAATAAAATAAAATAATTTTCAACGGTTGGCAATACTGTTTTCAACCAACTATGTACATCTGATGTACTGTGTTTTGTTACTACAGAACACCTGATTGTATGAAATAAACATAAACAAATAATACATTGTTGATCTGTGTACCAGTGCTAGGCTATGCTTTGAGCAATATCTTTTTAACACTGTAATAATTTAATTTTGTTTACTTTGTAATTTCTTCGTAGGGTTTTTTAAAAATTGTTAAAGAATTCTACTACAAAAAATGGAGCTTAAAGATAATTGTGGCATTTGCATTCATTCAATGTTAAGAAAGCAAGTGATAAGACTTATTCCATGTAGGCACTTATTACATGAAAAGTGCTATAGAAATCAACTAGCAATCGCAGAGATGGAACAATGTCACGTTTGCCGACAGGAAATCGAAGAGACAGAAAATGTGATAAGAAAGGTTTACAAAAAAAACTGTGAAGAGGATAGGAAGAGGATTGTTAGCTGTGCTAACAGGGGAGAGGATTGGGTGGCACTTTGTAATCAACTGAATGTAAACTATAAAACCGCTTATGAATGGGTCAGGTCTGGAGAAGAAACGCCAAAGTTGAAAGGAGGAAAGAAGCCAAAAATACTTTCTGAGGAACAAATTGATCAAATCATAGAATGGGTTGAAGATGACTGTCAAATCAGTTTGAAACAAATCAAGAGGAAAGTTTTGACTACATTTCACACTGATATAGCCATTTCCACAATTGGCAATTATCTCGAGGGGAGACTCTGTAGAATGAAAACAGTTCACACTGAGCCCATTACAATGAACTCAGAACAAAACAAACGTTTGCGTGCGGAATATGTGAGAAACCTCAATCGATATATTCAAGAAGGTAAACAGATCGTCTGGTTCGACGAAACTAATTTTAATTTATTTTGCAGACGTAAACGAGGGAGGGCCAAAGTGGGTGACCGAGCAATTCAAACCTTACCAGCAAGTAAAGGGCCAAATGTTCATTTGATTTGCGCAATATCGGGTGCTGGTGTCTTGTGCATGGAGCGAAGAAGAGGATCTTTTCGGAATCAGACAGCAAATGAATGGCTCCAGACTATGCTCCGAAGATGGCAAGAGAATGGTAGCGAGCTTAAGGACCTGGTAGTCGTCGTCGATAATGCTCCTTGCCACAGCAGGTTGGAGGACGTCATAACTGGGACAGACGCAGTGCTGCTGCGGTTGGCGCCATATCGCCTATGCTGAACCCAGTAGAAACAATCTGGTCGAAGATAAAATCATTTGTGAAAACCAACCTAAGAGTCCCAAATGTCAATCCCCCTGGTGTTGTGGAACAAAGACTCGTGTATCTGGAGGGCATCGTCGACCAAGCCATGAACACTATAGTTGGTGGAGACTGTGCTCGTGCTGTCCAGCACACATCTGTGCATCACCCTGCAGCGCTCGGGATGGATAACATGCAAGTTGGGCGTTGACAATAAAACATTGTTAGTGTATGTACTTTTAACATAAAACTTTTTAAAAGTAGTTTTAAGCCATGTAATTTTTAGCTCATTCTTAAAGTATTTATAAACATGTTACAAAATGTTTTTTTTTTTATTATGTTCCCAGTGTAGCTGTAGTACATATTGTAAATAAATATTCTTAACTTTGTACAAGTCTTCTTATTCACTGTAATAGTAAAAATGGTCACGTTAAGTACCGTAAGGTAGAAGATAAAAAAGTGTAAAATCTTAAGATTGAATGGTAAATGAGAACAGCTGAGACAAGATCATTTGAGTTTCCCATTCTGAAATACAATTGACTATTTCTGAAATACATTTGATTATTTCTGAAATTCAATTGACATTTTCTGAAATACAATTGATATATTCTGAAATACAAATGACCACTTCTGAACTACAAATGACTATTCTAAAATACAAGTGACACTTTCTGAAATACAATTGACAATTCTGAAATACAATTGACGATTTATGAAATTAACTTGACACTTTCTGAAATACAATTGGAAAAGGTGTAGTCAAAGGCAGCGATGTCGTGGGTTCGTATCGTAGATCTCTATAGACATCAATGGTTCGGATCTGGTCACTGCCACTACTTTTATCACACCAGTTCACCCTTGTACTGTACCGGTTCACCCCTTGCTTAGCTGGCTACGTTTCACGTACAGGCATGAGGCATATGTGGAGGGAAAATGTAAGGTATAAAGAGATCGCTAACCTCTTAAAAAAAAGGTACTTTCAGTGAGAAGAACTAACAAACTGCTGTAACGTTACACCTTCCTCCTAAAAAGGCTTTACAGTAATAACTATCTGTCATACACCTGTAGCTAGAAAGCGTTATAAATGTCCGATGACAAATGGCGACTGAGTATCCTTCTAGACCCGATTACTCCTTTAATTAGGATACCCTTTGGAATTGCAGGCGAAGTTTTAACATCTTGTATATTCAGTCAATCACGGCGACTATTTCCATTTGAGTTTTTTAAACTTTACCGATTTACTGTGCACTGTCTTGCACTGTTACAGGTAGTCGTATGGAATTTGTAATCAGTTACAGAGTTATTGTTCACTATTACATTATTACCGTAGAATGGGGTGAATAGAAACACTTTTTGACTTTTAAGCTTCTGTAAAAACGATATTTTAATTTTTAAATTTTCAACACTAGCTCATATTTTCGGTCTTGGACTCCTCTACTCAAACCAGTTATCAAAATTTTTTTCTTTTTAATCATTAAGCAGAAAAAAAATAAAATATGGCTGTTTCTATTCACCCCGCACATTGGGGTGAATAGAAACACTGTATTAAATTGATGATTGTTGCTTTTCTCCACTTACCAGAGGCAATAGAAACATGAAATTTATGCTTGTTAGCTTAGATTGTTGTAAATAAAAATATTTAAAGTTAATTAACACATTTATTTATAAGTACGAAGTATAAAAACATCGTTTTCATAAACCCTTATCCAAACAAATCGGAGAACATAAATGACAATGGGTGAAATCAGAGTAACAAAGTCTTACATAGAAACCAACTAAATGAAGAATAAAATCAGACAAATCTTCCTCAAAATACAACACTCCCTTAAATCTACAAGTTGTACACGGCTTGGGAGTTGGAAGCCGACGTACTACGTCATCGACTTTGAAGAGGGCCTCTTAATCTGTCTCTCAGAACTTGTTGGTTTGCGCAATTTTCTTGATGAATCTTCCTATTTATCCTTCCTCGTTAAATTCAATAACTTTTGCAACATATAAACGATAGCAAGTTTTGTTTTTCCCCATTACTTTGACAATTGATCATGAAGGGACAACTTTGAAGACTCACTGATGTCTTGAGCTAGGTATATGCTGGTTCTTCTTCATCAAATTGTTCGTCTTTGTCACTTTCTTCCAGTGAGAAGTGTGACTGATGTGGAATCATCTTCATCTCTGGTATTTTTTTTCTTTTTTGGGGGGTTTTTAGGTCAACCTTTATTAATTATTTGCACCACTGGTTCCAAAAAAAAGTGTTTCTATTCACCCTGGTTTTGCAAAATCATGACATAACCTAAATTAAAAATAAAGTAAAAAAATATAGTTTATTCTAAGGCTAATCTATTAACACACTTGGTTTTAAGATCCCTAAGACAATATAAAAAATGGCTATTAACACAAATACATGTAATAGGTTCATACTTAGAGAGAAAGTTTTGAAAAGAATGTTTTTCGCCAAAATTTTCAAATGATGTTTCGCATCATCCAACATCCGAAGCAGTGATACCAATATGCTGAAATAATTTTTCCTAGGTAGATAGGATATGGTTATAATGGGGGAAAATAATTCCCTTATATAAAGTCAATGTATAACAAAGTTATAAAAATGTGAATCATTCATTGAAGTTTTGTTTCTATTCACCCTGTTGTTTCTATTCACCCCATTCTACGGATTGCAGGCGAAGTTTTAACATCTTGTATATTCAGTCAATCACGGCGACTATTTCCATTTGAGTTTTTTAAACTTTACCGATTTACTGTGCACTGTCTTGCACTGTTACAGGTAGTCGTATGGAATTTGTAATCAGTTACAGAGTTATTGTTCACTATTACATTATTAGTGAGTGTGTATTATGCCTATTAATCTATTTCACATACTGTATGAATATTTTTTTAGGAAACAGTTAAGCTTTTTTATCTAGTTTTCCACATTAAATAATAATCGTATACAATAAATACGCTGATTATGTCCATAATCACAATAATTTCTATAGAAAGCAAAATATTTGCAATTTGTTTTTGTAATTTAAAAGCTAAATCATAAGATGCGAAACATTAATTATCAAAGCTAAATAAAGCCTCAGATTTATTGAATTACGTAGAATGAGTCAGTGGTATTATTTTAATTAAATAAATTTTAAAAATTATTCATATATTTTTGAATTTTTAAAATACATTTTGACAAATTTTATAAGTAACTTTGTTCCCAACTTAACTTAATAATTTATTTCATCCTTGACTGTAGGATACTATTAATATTCAAAGATTGAATGTAGGTAACAATTTGTTCATATATACAGGTACAAAAAAGTAATACATTTTGAAAACTGAATAACAAATTTTAATACCATAAAACCATATCAAAACCATGCAAAATTAAAATGAAGTATGCCGGAGAAATGAAAAGAGCAGCAGAAGTAAAATTAAAACACAAGTTGAAATAAACCAATAATTAAATAAATCATCAAACAACGAAGAAATAAAACCCCAATATTGTAATCCAGTAAAATATAATCAAATTGTGCAAAATCCAATCAACTGATAAGCAAAATAAAAAAAATTGATAACACTTACCAAAAGCGCTGCGACCTTGATCATGGCGTTGTTGGATGGTAACTCCACAGGCTGTGGAACTACGGAATCTTATAACTAGATCACTTACGCGCCCCCCTCCAGTCCCCCCCTCAGTTTCTCTGGTGAAGCAGTTGCCTGCGCCTGCCTACTGCTGGTGTGCTGTACAACTGGTGCCTGCCTCCAGCTACAAGTACCTGTCTGTATGGCACCACTCTCTACCATGATGTAATATTACGTCTCTGATGGAATTTCTTGAATTAGATTTCCTCTCGGCACCCATCTTGTGCGTGAGTTTATTAAGATCGGTTGGTGATGAAATTTCATCATTCAGGTGTGATTTTCAAAATAACCTGGAGATCCTTATGTTTATGCGAAAATTCAAACAACAACAGTCCATATCTGTTGAAATCGTTATATAATTATTCTTAATTTATTGGGGTGGTTTCTTTTTGTCTTGTCTATTCCAAAATATGTTGTTGAGGGATCAAAATATGTTTAGAATAAATGTGCACATCCAACTAATGTGTATTTTGTGGTGTTGGAATGGTTTATCATCCCAGTTGAATTGAATTAAAGTAAAAAATTAATGTTAAACGGAAAATTCTGATAAACAAAAAATAGTAATGTTTATGTACAGGTATTCTTGAATTAACACGTTGGGTGCTGATGACGGGAATTCCCGCAATTGCTTAACATTGAAATAAATGCAACTTTTATGTTCAAACCTGTCGACAGCACGAATAGTGTTAATATGGTCTATGTGTTACTAGATAGTTTATTTTTCTGAGTTTGTGTGTGTGTTTTTTTTTTTTTTTTACTAACCCAAACATTCATTATTGTAAACATTGTATATTGTAAATATTCATACTATTTTATAGTAAAACCCAACCTTTTCAAAGTTGAGTTGTGTTTTGCTGATCAAAAAGTACATTTAATTTTCAAACTATTCGCAATATTCCTAAACTAGCATTACTAGGCTTAAGGTCGTGTGTCAAAATGTCAGATTATATTTTACATTTGCAAATACTTTTTCAATTGTTTTATATAAAACTGGAAAACGAAATATGTTCAATTTGAAACTGTTTACACCTTCAGATTGGTCACGTTTATATTTATGTGGCATTTAAAAAAAATAGTTGCTCAATCCCATTTTAATCATTTATACATCAATAACCATTATTGAAGTCACTTGTATCTTATAATTTCACAACCTAGAACGCTACGCTTTAACCCTTGAGCCGTTTTATACATTACTTCAAGCTAGAAGGCCAAGGAATTATCACCAAGTTAAAGCCAATGGTCATAGGTGGAATTCGATCCTTGGACCTGGGGACAGAAGCTCCGCGCTCTACACCTAGATATGACCACTTCCCATTGTTTAATCCAATCCATTGAACTACACTCGGACCATAATCAGTACATCAACACATTTCTTGTTTACTCCTATAAATAACTTTATCAACACGAAGATCTGGACGAAATATGGCCCAGAATATTGCATAAGTTTGGCGGAAGCAGACGACGCTCATCAGACAACAGCTGTTGTCTTCTGGTCATGACAGATGAATTCTCCGCGTGTCAAAGCGTGGTCGTCGCAGTAGCTTCTTGTTAGCAATACACGGGATGATCATGGTCTCTGACATAACTGGGCTACTGAGGGATTTCCTCCTTTAAACATTGTTCCTAGAACTACCAGAAACTGAAGACTTCTTCACCTATTTATTACGCAATTTGTTTGTCAGTTTTTCTCAAAACAAACTAAATAACTACTGTTGTTATAGCAGGTAGAGAAAATGTGTTTAAACTACGTTATTTTTGTGAGTTTTGAATATAATAATTAATATTGTAGCTAAGCCAACATCACTGATGACTTACGTACGAGATTTAGTCAGTGGTTTGATTTATCTTACATGTTATGCTGTTTTTTAGCATTGTAAATCGCAACAAAATCAACAAATTAGTCAATAAGCTAGTAGAAGGGATTGCTTATGTTTGTAAAGTTGAAATGTTATAATCAACTCAAGTTTTAAGTTATATGAATGATATATGTATGAAAAACAACATTAGTTATAAAAAAATATACGAGGTTTTGCGGTAACCTTTCTAACATACTAAAGTAATTTGAAGCAATTTCGTTCGAAAAAATATCAAAAATAAATCAAACTAAATAATTGAATCCATATTTTTTGTTTATTGGACCTCGCTGACAACCTTTATAAACTTGTCATGGCCAAGCCGCAGTTATACTACAGATTACCCCCCAATCTGTGGTTTTACTGCGAATAACAAACAGTATATTTGACTTTGAAGCGATCCAAGTAATGGTTTTAGAAGAACACTAGAGCTCGCCCCGTGGTCAAAAACTTGACCAAACGTATGTATTGTGCAAACTTCTCTATTTTAACCACACGCTGCAAATAAAACATGCGATTAGAATTTCTTCCATAACCTTCTTTTGGTACAACGCGTGGGTAAATCGGCCCAGTAATATGGTCAGGCTAATTGTCATAAGTTTTCCAAAAGCTTTTTAATATATAAGATTCACTAAAGGAATAGTAAGCTTTTCAGGCACATTAACACAACCTGCATGTAAATCTGTCCAATAGATCTCCAGATCTCACTCATATTAGACTTAAAATGTTATCCCCATGTTAAATTGTCAATAGATTTTTTAATTTCTGTTTTTATAACACTTAGTCAAGTAATATCTGAAATCAAAGCAAAATGGACAAATATAGAGACAATTACATTTGGTACCATCCGTGTGTAATTCGGTCCAGTAGTATGGTCAGGCTAACTGTCGTAAGCTTTACAATTTTGTCCTATGTTAAATCTCCATAAGAAAAGTCTCCATAAGTATTTTTATATAATATGTACCTAGAGGTCGCCACGAGGTTGAAAACCCAACCAAAAATACGTAATGTACAGACTTCTCTATTTTCCCCACACACTGTAAATAAAACATGTGAATGGAATATCTTCCATTTGTTTTGATTTTCTGTTTATATTTTGTTGTTATTTCGTCATCACCAAGGCAACCTATAAGACCCATGTTATTTTTTAAAGATTTCAAATTCATTTTTCGTGCTTATTTGTGAGCCTAATTCAATTTATAAAGGGATTCTGCACATCTACAGGTAAATATCTTTCATTTAGTACCAACCACGTTTAATTCAGTCCAGTGGTATGGTCAGGCTAGCTGTCATAAGTGTTGCAAAAGTTTTTTTAGTATATAAGATTAAACAACTAAATTATATTATAAATATTCTTGCTCGCGATTAAGATCAAGAAATGCTAAATAATTTCCATTTCCAATGGAAACACCTTTTTCTTAACGGCGTATTCTACAGCTATAAAATATAGAAGTTCGCTAGTTTGTCCATACCATACCACTTAGCTATGTGTATAGTGTTAAATGTAGGGGGAAATATATTATGAACCACCTTATAGTCTAAACTTCCTCGATTCAAATAAATTATTAATCTGCAGCTACTTTCATTTCTTTTGTATACGTTATATGAAATAGAGAAATTGGCGCAAACTTCATTACGTTCATACAAAAGACATTTGGTAGCTCCGTGTCGAGGCTGTTTCCAAACCCCTTGACGAAGTGTTTCCTATTGTAGACAATACGAATAGGGATATAGACTAATCCAATCCAAATCAATCTGCTAGCCAAGACGTGTATACTCATGCAAAATGGCTGACCTAATACAAATATTTCTTGGCGTTCAATTATTAGGGGATTTAAAGAGCTTTAGTGTATAACCCACTTAAAAAGGCATACAACTGAAGTTGCATGTTACTAAAAAACCGAATAAAGAAACTTAATACTGGAAAATGATCAAGCACGTTATTTTTGGAGATTACAAGATGACTTCATATGCAACTTCTGAAAAATATACTTATAATTTGGACAAAATAAGATGAACAGCTCGAGTTTATAAATTGATTAAGCCAAATATCGTATGGGGTTTACAGTAGTGAGGTTTTAAAAGCTAAATCTAGCATAAAATGACCTTTATTTGGTCCACTTCATTATAAAATGGATAAAAGTCATTGGTCTTCCGCAGGATTTGATTTGGACACTTCAAGACACAAATCAACGATTCAACCTTTATACAGTATATTCTACACTTTATATATTTTATTAGGACATAACCAAACCATTGACCATTGCATACTTTTTTGTACAGCGAAGCAGGTCTGAGTTAGCTATTGAATAATATAAACACAAACCTATTTACGTAACAACATCCTTACTCTATTTTTACTCATCCCAAACCTCAGGACTGGCTCTACGTAATAAGACGTACTAAAGGCTTATTCTAATATGTTTTTCGATACATGTAAAAAAACTTGTTCAGATCGGATACATGTTCTGAACTGTAATACATGATCGGTTTGGATTTTAAAAAAGTAAACTTAACTATTTACCCCAAAGAAATCTGATAGAAACCGGTTCTCAATAAAGACATACAGGAAGCAAGATCAGAGTTGGTAGCAGATAGAAAGCCAATGCTGGCGCCGTGGCGGCAGTAGACTTACAGTAGATTTACAAGTTCACTTCAACATTAACATATCCATGGTCCCGCCTCGTTACAATTTCAGCTTTCCCTTTGTTTAGCCATTGATGCGATCTTCCCATGGTGATTCCCACATGTATAGCTTCCCCAGACAGGAAGATATTGTTTGTCTAATGGTCTGTGTAATCACTTACACCTTGCTCGATAAGTGTTGGGGAAATCATGCTTCCGGGATATCAATCAGAGCTTCAAGCAAAGCACCAAGAAGATCGACTACCGTATAACGTTACATGGCAATGTTCTGGTTAATTAGGATAGTTAACATCCTAATTAAAACATATTGTATTTTTATACCTCAGAACCTACTAATAAAAGTCAACATTTTAGGGTTCTTGTGGTGTTATTAATTAACCATATGTTTTATATTTAAAATACCAGATGAACTGATTATTTATTGTTATTATTTACCTTTTGTTTTGAGATGAGTTGTTGAAATTACTAGATTAAATACTGTTCCAAAAATGTTCATTGATTTCTATTTCAACTACAGGACA